GCAGGATTGGTATGATTGTTCGTCCGCATCCGCAGTACGTACTTGGTCTAGAGATGACCCTGCTGAAGAACCTTGGAAAGATGCAGTCAGCCCTCTTCGACAGATCCCCGGAGCTGACGACCCTTGGAGAATCCGAACTGACCCTGCGCATACTTTTGCCATTCAGGGGTTTGGATCCGGCATGGCAACTTCAGCAGTCATCTTACTTGCAAGGCTGGGTGTTGTCCCAGGAAGATCAACGCAGGATAGGCTAGATGTCTTGTACGCAAGTTTTATACAGTGGTGCCATGATCATGGTAAATCCTCCAGCCTCGATGGCTTCAGCCTTTTGAAATTCAAGATGAAAACGTTCCTGGCCTGAGCAAAGCAATTGGGATAAGGGTTGCTTGTGTTCTTTGTGGGTTTAGGGCTAGGCAGGACATGTGCTTGATTGGGGTTTGTTGTTCTACATCTAAGGTTGCAGAATTATCCTATGGGTGCTGGGAAGGGATGGGACACGGTATTGCTTTGCGAATGGCTGGAGCACGAGCTGAGCCAGCCTGGGGGAAGTGCGCGAGTTGATGCTTTACTGATGTTTTCGAGTATTATACAGATTCTTATTTTGAGGATTGTTCACAAATATTGTTGAACTTCTTTGACTCTTGCTATAGCTGCTATAGACAAGGTGGATGGAGACCAAGAGCTTTATCAACTCCTGCAATGGACTTTCGAGAACACGAATGCCTACTTCCGAGGCTTATCTAATCATGCTATGTGGATCCCGATCAATGATGCCAAGCAAATTATGAAGCACGGGTGGTCCATGATGGTGCCTTTGATGCACGTTCTGGCGCCGCATATCCAGTTTGCATTCTACATTGTTCCTTCATGTGTACATCCCTAGTCAAGCTAAGGAGGGACTTGGAGCGCTGGCTTTTGTCACCCATGAACGTCGCTGGTGCCTGTTCAAGATGAAGCCCAAAGTTCATATGCAATTGCATATCGAGTTCCTAGGCAGGAGTTATGCACGGGGACCTTGGGTTTTTTCCGCAGAGACTACTGAGACTACAAGGCAAGATATCCAGCTGCAGATTGACAAAAACCTGCCAATGATTTGGAACCCGAGATGAAGCTGAGCTCGTAAATCGGTTTTTCTTTCAAGTGTAAACCTTTCCAAAAGAGGCTCATATAGGTTGTGCCCGCATCCCCTAACTAGCTTAGGTATGTGCTGCTGGCAAGACGAAGATTTCATAGGACGTGTTGCCCGGATTTCACGAAGGCAATCTACAGTCACAGCAGCTATCCGAACTATTCGTGTCGCCCTTTTGATGTATCACAAGCAGTGGGCTCGGGAGTTCGGCTAGATGGAAAAAGCCGAGCACCCGGCATGCAGGTATCCAAGGAGGTCCAGCTTTGCGATGTGCCCAGGGCGGTTCAGCGGCTTCAGAGGTTGGAGTATATTGGGTCAGGGTAGGGTTGTACTGGGGCCACATTAATAATGAGACCTTTCGGAAGTCGCAGATTCCCATAATCATAAACATCACAAGAGGAAATATTCATCCCACGCGCTTTTCCTGAATCATAGTGATCACGAACAGAAATCTAAGCGAACAGAAATAAACATGTTGTTGGAGGATCCAGGTAGGGTTTGAGGAATATATTATTCAAGGGTTATGTGAGGATTATATCCTCTTATTTCACTACTAAGAGCCAGTAAGGCTTCTAATTCTCGGGGTGCCCGTTGCAGGCTCTCATTGAGCACCAGACGTGTTTAAGGTTTAGGGCTTAGGGGACCATGAAGGAGTTTCTGGTTTAGGGGACCATGAAGGAGTTTCTGGTTCTTTTTAAAGAGCACGTCTTGACCCTATACCCATCTTACGGTTTTTAATTGTAAGGATGCCATTTGGGGAGTGCTCAGGAAAAGGATGGTCCTCATTCTATGTTGGTTATATTCGATGTCGCCCTACTCTTAATCTGACAACCCTGGGCCCCAAGCGTTGTCTCTGAATCTGAACTCCTGATTACATCCCTAACCCGTGCTTCGGCCAAGTCTCCCTATAATCCTGGAGGGTCAGGGGGGTTTAGGTAGTATATGGGTGAATAGTCAGGGCGTTATGTAGCTTACAGCGGTTCTAGGTGTACGCACTAAGTTCCCCTGTATCTGGGCTGTAAGCCCTCAACCGACGGCGGATGAAGGAAATCTTGCAACACTTAGGATCCTAAACACTCTAATTTTTGCTGGGCTGGCCTTTGGGATACTTAAATATTTTCCCTAATTGGTTTCATAAGGACCCCATAGACTAATATTTTTCAAATGGTTCCAAAGGCCAACCAAGAAGGGGGTATAGGCTATTCTAGCTGGTGCAAGATTTCCCTTAACCCCGAACCCTAAACCCTACTTGGAGGTTCATGGGAAATGGTAACTACTTATAACTGGCCTTATGACCCTACTTATAACCCCCTACATTACATTATAGGGGTTTCCCCAAATATGAGTAGGATTATAACCCCAGTTATAAACAGTTACTAAGTCCCATGAACCTCCAAGTAGTTTCAACCCTAAACCCTAAACCCCAAACCCTAAACCGTTAAAGCTTTCCAGCCAAATCTTTAGCGAGCCCAGGATGAGAACCCCAAACCCTGTGATACCCAACACCTAGAACCCAAAATCCGACAGCCCCATTTTTCAGAGTTTAGGGTTAAGGGAACTTTGAGCTTTGAACCCCAGACCCTTAAAGTCCAAATCCGAACATATCTAGCGCTATAACCCCAAACCCTAGAAGCTGTAACCCCTAAACCCTACGTATCCCTATATAACGCCTTTCTCACCCCCTATAGTAACCCTATGTAGTCACCATATTAACCCTAAGCCTCAGAGGACCCGTGAAGTTCTGGGCGAGAAGGGCCGCCGCATCCGAGAGCTGACCGCCCTGGTGGCTTGGCAGTTCGGAGGTTCAGGGTTTAGGGTTTAGGGCCTAGGGTTTAGGGATTTAGGGTTTAGAGTCTTTAGGGGTTTAGGGTGTTTAGGGGTTTAGGGTGTTTAGGGTTTAGAGTGTTTAGGGTTGAGGGCTTAGGGTTTAGGGCTTAGGGTTTGCCATGATATGTTAGAGATTAGATGGGGGGCTTCTATATGGGGATTCATTCCTCCATGCCCTGCTATCTACAAACCCAAAACAGTGGGATGATTCAACTCAAAGCAGCAAGAAATTTAGGGTTTTGGAGTTTTAGGCTTTTCGTTTAAGGAGATGTGTTTTAGGGGTCTAGGGGTTGAGGTTTTAGGGCCTACATATTGCTTTCCAGCAAGCGCTCAGATGGGTAGTATTTGTAATCAATCAACCAGTCAGTCAGTCAGTCAGTCAGTCAGTCAGTCAATAGAAATAGAGTAAGACTGTATCACCAATTCTGTATGTTACCACATTATGACGATTGCATCAATATAACACTGTACGTGTTACTAGGTTACAACATTTCTATACTGCTATAGTTCTACATGGTTGCAATACTATGGTTTCCAATTAGTGTAGCTATTATCCTTAAACCCTGAGCCTTGGACCCTACCTGGAAGCCGGCCCGAGTACCTTCTACAGGACCCAAATACCCACAAATGGGGGTTTCCCAAAAATAGGGGTTCATTTTCAGGGTTCCCTGTAATAAGGACTATAGTATTTTTGAGTCCATATTAGGGTCCCCCTATTTAGGGAACCTACCAAATAGGACCGACATGGACCTGATTTGAGGGTGGTTGGGGTGCAGTGGTAAACTCTGAATTCATAGGTGCAGAAGCGTTTCGGCTTCCCCGAAAACAGCGTAGAGCTCTTCGCGGAGCGTGTGGAGTCACATGCCAGAACTGAGGGAAGGGGTGTATCTATGGGTGAGGGTGATATTGGGTACTTCCATCTTGGCGGAGTTCTAGGTTTATGCCTTGGATGCCGATGTATGGAGGTTCGAGATTACAGTTTTTGCTCACAGTCCTAAAGGTGCGAAAAAATGAACATATACAAGAATTCCATTACATTGGGGGAACTAGAGGACTATTGGGAGATTCCATTTTTGCGGATCCTTTAGCGATTCTGGGCGGGCTCCTGCACTCGGCTTTGGTGAGTTCAGCTGCAGAAGGTCTGAAGCTCGTCTCAAGATCAGATAATCATGGGTTGACTTACTACCCCCCTCTATGCTGTGTACTACCCTAATCAGGGCCAAGGAAATTCTAGCTGAGGACGAACCATGGGATGAGATAAGGTTGGGCAGCATCAGCTTCCATGAGGCGTCGTGGCACTTGCAAAAAAGTTTGGTCCAACAAAACCAAACCCAAAGCTTCCGCGCCTGATCCATTACTGCATGTACAACTAGAGCTGTATGATTCTCCTCAGGTGTCCAAGTACCAGAACATTAAGGCTTTAGGTACCAAAAGCAGTTCAGATCATGGTTTTTGGGACCTGAACCCCCATTATTGGGTCCTTGGACCCTTAGAGCCCTAGGGTCCTGCAATGGGGACCTAAAGCTTGCCTTCACGGTTTCAAAGCGTTGGACATGTGAGGAATCGTGCTAGCTGCGCCATGGCTCAGTGCGAATCTCTTCGCCGCAGCCTCGGTGCGGCCCCCCACAAGAGAAACAACCTATGAACATAAAAGGTGAGCACATAGTTGTTAGCTAGATGACATATACTGTTTTATAGGGTTGGGGGTGTGGCGATCAGGGGTAATCTTAAATTCATTGTGTTCTTGGTGCCCCAGACTCTTTCTTCCATGACTGTCATGTAATTCAGATCTTTCACCCCCTGCCCCCCC